AAAGAAGTTGTTGTCTCACCTTTTATTTGACTGAGTAATTTAAATCCTAATGTTCATCTCACTCCAGACTTTTACACCTCTTTTCATTCATGGTTTATTTTTAACTAAGATCAGTGAGCTGATCCACCTCAAACAAAAGTCATGCTGATGCAACACAGGGAAGGCAACAATATCAGTGACAACAGGTAGCAGGGACGAAAAGTACTTAAATATGGACATTACTGCCCCCAAAACAAATCTCTGTTAAATCACAGCCTTGTTTTCAAGGAACAGAACTTTTAAGAGAATACAGGCTTTCTCCTGCACATAACTTATCTATAAAATCCCTTGCAGTTTGTTACAGCCCTGCTTATTTTTTTGAGACTCCACATTGCTGGTATTGCAATTCACTTCGCCCAGTTTTATCTAAAAAGTAGAAACTTAGCCCAAGCTGGGTGTCTAGACTTCCTCTGCAGAAGGAAATAGATATTTTAACACTTGTCCTCTGGAGCTATGCTAAGATATGCATACAAAGATATCTAGGGCAAGTAAAAAACTCCATTATCCTCTGGAATTGCCTAGCTTTCTCCACTGATAACGAAGGGATCCTCAACAATCAGTTCAGATTACACTTCTTTAGGTGGCTGAAAACAGACAGTGCAAGTACCATGCTATTTTCCTAGCCCAAATCCTAAGATAGTTTGAGACGAACTGAAGCCTTCGTAGTGTTCGCAGAAGAGACTGCTGTTAAAAGATGTGGTATGCATCCTGCTGCATTCTTACCTGCAAGGTGAGATTCCAGGGCGCTGGAACAAACCTGAATCTCCTACAAACCAGCATCACACCCAGGCAAATCTGCCAAGCAGACAACATACCTATTTTCACATTTTATAGGGAAGATTCGAGAGAAAAAAGGAGGCAACCTAATAAAATCAGGCCATCTGGCTAAATGGTGGTACTTTATTATCTTGTTCCTGTAACCACTAACCAGTAGCTAAGGAATCATGCCTAATGCCTCTGGAGATATAGCCTGGAAGAACTGTATTAAATATCTGTTTACTAATGTCAACAGTCCTGATAGAAGAGGGAGACGTTTTCAACTTCTGTGGTAGGCACTCCTCAGAAAAGACAGAAATGAAACTAAAAGTGAGAAGACATCCTTGAGCATTAGGAATGCGAGAAACTACAAAGAAACTAGAAGGAAAGAACGAATAGGACCAGCACAACAGAGGAAAAAAAAAAAAAAGACCAATTCACTCAGAAAGTTACATTAAAAATTAGAACTACCAAAAGTCTTGCTGAAGCTAGATTTTGCAGAGGCAGTAAAATACGCAATTTTCCAATTACATAAGTCTAATAAAAGCAAAACAAAGCCAGTGGCAGGGGTGCAGAAATTGCAGATAAACAAGAAAGAGTTCAAAAGCAAGAATGAATACATTGCCCTGGCTTTGATATGATATCGACACTGGAAAAAGGGAGGAGAAGGGAAACAGTGTGCTAATGGAACTTTACTGGCCACATTCAGTGAAGCTGGATGTGAACTGGCAGAGACCTCAACGCCGTCAAGTTAAAGGAGTGAAGGAATCGGGACATAATGAAAAGTGACCATGAAATCTCCAGTCAGGTAACCAGTGTAACCACACCTGCATGTGCAGTAACCAATCAAGCCATGGGTTGTATCACTATGACTGAAAAAAACAGCAAGTAAAAACATATTTAAGAAAAGGCAAAATAGTAATCCAGACAACTACTGATCTATTAGTCTAATCTGTAGAATGTAGAGCATTAGATCAAGTTTTGCCTCCATATTCCTGTTTCTGTCACTTCCATATTATCTTCAAAATTAGAATAAAACAAATTTTGGCTCTACTAAAGGTGACCTGTACCAGACTAAGATGTATTCTTGTTAGAGAAGCTACCTGACTTATCTAGACAGTACACTTTATCTATCCGGGCTTTAATCAAAGCATTCGTTTTACAGTGTTGCACAGTAATAACTGAAGCTGGAGACATTTCTGAAATGAGTAAGGGATTACAGAGGACAGAACGGAGTGTGTTGAAAAGGGAAATATCTGGAAAAGCTACTAGTGGAGATCCCAACAATTGGCCACCTCTAACATTTTCATAAATATCTCTGGCACAAAAATAAGTGTGTGATAATGGAAAAAATAAGGAGGCACCATCAAAACACAAAAGGACTGACATTACATACAGGAAGAACTGGAGGACCTTGAAGATTGCAGCAATGAAAACTGGATGAAATTCAGTACCACAAAATGTGAATCCATGCATTTGGGGACCAATTAATAAAAAAACATGTATTTTTCTGCTATAAACTGGAAGCTCATCGTTCGGAATAAAATGGGAAAGGGAAGGACCAGCTGGCTGTACAAGCTCATTATAAAATGACTGAACTGCCAGCACAGCGGAGCTGTGGGAAATCCAAGGAGGTGCAAAAGGGAAGCAACTGCACTTGAGAACAGGAAGCTACAGCTGTGACACAATGCAGTGAAATCTCACCCGAAGTATTGCACATGATTTTGGTAAGCTTGTAACAAGAGCAGAAAAGGAACTAATGAGAAAGTAGGGGACCTTAACCTCCAGATAAATACCGAGGATGTTAAAAAGCTTGACACATCCAGGTAAGAAAACAGAGACTGAGAAGAAATAGGATTACTTGATATAAAAAACAGCAGGGTAGCATACACCAAAAAACAAGGCGGTCTGTTAAATCTAAAAGATCATTTTGGTGTAAGAACAAGTGTGCAGAAAATAGGTGAAAAAAATTTTTTTAAAGCAATGAGGTTGATAAGGTTTCTGGAGTAGGATTCCTATTAGATAGGAGCAGTGGAAACAAAACATATAACTACTTTTAGGCTGGAGCTCTAAATCGGGATATTTACGGACAGTATTATATGACACATCCCTTGCAGTCCCTTGTAGGGGAGGGGCAACAGGGGCTGCTTTCCAATTCCATGTTCCAACGAGAGCTATTGTCAATCATTACAGAACTAATATAAAACACCTTTAACAGTAGAAAACTTGAAAATGAAATGCATTTCCAAGAGGGGGAAAAATTATATATATGAGCTTTGAAAATTAATCCATGGTATAGCATAATAAAAATAAAGAATCCTCAAGTAAAACTGAAAAACAAAACTATAGCTCCACCTATTCTTACACTGTGTAAGGGGGTAGGGGGAGGTTTTGGGAAAGAGAGTAGTATATATGAAAGTAAAAGTGCATCTGCAATCTCTAGATTCAATTCGAAATTTTATTTAGAGGAAAACATTATCCTAGGAGACAGGAAACAATTTGCCCAACTTAACTCATAGATGAATATCAGAAAAGATGTCACAGAATCATCAATTCATATTTCAGACCTATACGGTAGAATTGCCAAGGGGCGGGGGGGGAAGAAGAAAGAAAAACAAAACAAAAAAGGTATGAAAATTAATTTCTGCATAAGATAATATGTGCACTATCCCTTACGACAGCAAAAGAAACTTTCCAGGTGACAGAGTATTCTCTTTTTAAATCAGCTTACTCTAAGTACCATGATCCTTTCCAAGCACATAAACATTGCAGACAGACTTCACTAATACAATATATACAGAATTCCTCTCTCTCTTGTCCTGCCCAGATACATTTGGGCATAACTTCCAATTCTGCATAAGCAGAGTGCAAGTCATCAGCAGAAAATGACTGTTACAGTAAGAATTATCCGGATAATCAAACTGAAGTCATGATCACAAAAATCAACCCCATTATACTCAACACTGTCGGGAGGAGTATTTTCGCAGAAGAATTTTAGTTAGAAGAGACCGCCAAAAGTCATCTAGTCCTACCTCCTGCTCAGAGGAGGTCTAATTAGATGAGGCTGCTCAGGATCTCGTCCAGTCGAGCCTTGTCCACAAGCTCCCTGGGCAACCTGTTTCCACATGTGAACAATGTTATGGTTTAAAAATATATAAAATAATCTGGATTATCTCTAATGTGAATTTCCCCATTGTGTTTGTTGCCTTTCACTTATCACTGTGCACCTCTGAGGAGTCTTCACACCACTTCCTCCTTGGAAAAATATCAGTACTTGTGAATGAATTAATTGACAGTTCTGAAAATTATGTACTTAGCCACGGAATAAATAGGAAGACAGCAAACTTCCCAAAAGTGCTGTTAAAAAGTACCCCAACTAATTTGGGATGCTCTCTCAAGGAGAGGGTAACTCACTCTACGGCCTGTACTGAGGCTGCCCACAAAAACATGCCAGATACTTGCATCGATCAGAGATGAGAACCACAGATGACACTATTAGTACAAACTGGACTGGGTCCACCAACTCATTTGACCAGTGGTCAACAACACAGCACATAACAGTATGTATTATCAGAAAGCTATTGCATGAATTATAAGAGCAGCAATAATGAAACGTAGCCTATATTTGCTCTAGGCAAGTATCGGCTGAAAAGTAGGATGCATTTAAATGACTGAAATTAGCAATCTGGATGGGCACCTCTCTTAGAGGTCTACCAAGAAATAATAAAAAGTTATGCCCTGTGTGTGCGTTTGAGTAACAAAAGGAAAAAAATGATCAGGTTCTTCATGCTTTTGCAACCACCCTGCTTGAAAATAAATCATTTAATCCACCAGGATACATTAGCAACATAAAACACCAATCTATTTCCTTTCTATGTCCGTTTTATGCATTCAGTATTTTAGATAAATAAATCAACGTTATAAAATAAAATCAATATATGGAAGCAGATGAATATTCAAAATAAAAATAAATCACCAAATTTATCCTGATTAACAATAAAATACTAACACAAAAAAATTTTTTTTTTTTATTAGATAGGCTATTTTATTAACCTTCTCAAAAAGTGGAAACACAGTGCAGCTAGAGAGCTTTTTAAAAAAAATTTTGAAATTTATTTTGAAATTCAGTGAACGTATTTGCCCTAATGCATAGGTTTGCTTTAAACTAAAAAAAAGCATATATTCCTACCATTTTTCCTACTTACCAACAAGTCTTATTACATTTAGCGTAGTATTTGTTAGGATAGGTGCATTCACTTTATTGAGATTATAATCCGATCTCTTTCTGCTCTTCAGGGTTTCTCGAGAAACACTTTAAAGAAAAAAAAAAAACAAAATATACCAAATGTGACTATTATATTCAATTCCAAAAAAATGAAAATGAAGTAAAAAAAAAAAAATCTCATTTTTTCTCTCTTTCACAAAAAGATACATCTTTCAGAGCAGCATTTTACTGATGCCAAAGCATAACGGGTTTATGATTCAAACATTTAGAGAAGCCTAGCCTAGTTTAGTGAAAGTAGCGATAGAGAAAGGAATTTCTGAGTTCTACTCCAAAGCTTGAGTTCTGCAGGTCTCCATCTGCCCTTGACAATCATTTTAACCACTCTGCCTCCAGTTAATTGTTTATGAAGTAAAGAAAATGAAAACAGTGCAAGCCATCAAGAAAGAGGGGCGCATTAGTGATCTAGAGGTCTATCTGTAAATTCCAACAACTGAGGAAGATGAAGCTAAAACGACATTAATATTTTCATCAGAAAAAACACTCTACCATACCTCAAAATGGTATTCTTCTAAAAATTCAGAATATATAACAGTTTTACCAAAGACACCTATGGACAGTGACTGCAGTTTGTTCTGATTAACTGATTTATAGCAATACTACTGTAGCTTCTTTAAAATGAAGTAGTGTGTGATGCATTTTATAAAATTATACTAACAATATTTTAATCCTAAAGTGATTTTACCAAAAACAAACAAACAAAAAAAACCCCACACACACAGAATCCTCCTCTTTGACTTAAGTGATGTTTTTCTAGTTCTCCTACAGTCCTCTAAATATAAATGTTTACCTACTTCAGAAAGCCCGAATGAATATTTAACTGGTACAGTGCCCAGGAAGACATCAGTAGTTCAAATCCTTTTAAATGCCATACAGTTTTTTCTTTTTCTTTTTTGAGAATGAAAGAGGATTTAGAAATTCCAAATGACTGCCTTCAATTTACTGCAGAATTTAAATTTTTAATCTGCAAAAAATGGTTTTCTACAAAAGCAGAAGCCCAAGCCTCCAATCATTTCTCCGCAAACACTTCCCTTTGACGCAACAGAAATTATACATACGCACAGTAGCTGCTGTAGAAGACTTTCACTTAACATTTAATGCTTACTAATCAACTTTCCACTACCTGCTTCAGAGTGTCTTTATCCTCCTTCAAAATTTGGCCTTCCAAAGATTTTTTCCCCCCCTCCTGCAACAATGATGAATAGCTTAAAGCTGCCCTCCATTCTGGAGATTTAACTGCTGGGACTTTCTAACTATGCAGGTAGCATAACAATTATTTGATTATTATTCCATTAACATAGAATAGAGATTAGATAGAAAATGAACTGATTAATTAGAGAACAGAGCTTAGAAGCACGTAAATAAGTAGCACAAAAGATCAAGTACTCACACAGCCTACTTACCTCTTCACAGGGGCATCTCCTGTCTGCTCATCCACATAATCTCTTTTCAATTCTTCAGGAACATCACTGTCACTATCATACTCCTGATATGCGCTTTTTTCTTGTTCATCCGATTCATACTGGAAAAAATGAATACATTGGTTGCCATTACTTTCATTACAATACTGCCACCCCTTTTACAGTGGAATTTTGGTCACTGCTTGGGGCTTCTACCTCCACCGGAACAGAAGCAGCTTTCCTGGCTGACAGGTTGCTTACAATGTTCATTAAAAATATAACAGGTAAATTATACACTACCAATTGTAAATGTACTTCTAAACAAACTTCTATTCTCAGATGTCATATAAGAGTAACTATGTGCATCATCCTGCTTCTCCCAGCTACTGACACTGAGACAAGAAAGCAAAAAAATGTATCAGATGCTCTTCAAATAGCTGAACTTTTATTATTTGCTTTACAATCTGAAAAAAATAAATAAAACCTCAAAATTGGCCCATATGTTGGCAATAAAACAAATAAAAGCTGGGACCACATAATCCTTGATTTTTAATGCAAGGAAGGATTAAATTATCGCTTTATAAAAATACTTGACGCCGTAAACATTTATTTTAAAAAACTTGCAGCTCTTTTAAAAATTGATCTTAGTACATTCAAAAAGACATCTCTGTCTGAGTCTTCCAATCACTTAACCCGTTAGAGACCAATACTATTCTGCTTCTGGGTAGAGCACAAACACTTCAAGAAGACAACTGGTCAAGCGCTAACACAAAAACATGAGTATTTCTCATGGCTACTATATAGTAACCTCATACTTTTTTTTTCTTTCTTTCTTTTTGATTTTTCTTTATTTTCTTTTTATTTTCTTCAGCTGTATGCTGTCCTATCTCCATCAACAGCAAAAGTAACACCGTATACATCTGTACGTTCCATGTACTACATAAATTTTATACTGTACAAGAACCAAGCAAAAATGACACGGCAAGGAATAGGTTTCTACAACCTGTTTGATGTACCCTTCCTAGCTGTACAAAAAGGAATAATACATTATATTAAGAAATTAATGCTGTAACTAAGCTGTATGAGTGGAATACATGAGTGGGGGCTAGCTGATGTATTTAAGAGTAATTACATTTTAACTGCTCATGTATAAAGCCTGACTAGTGGGGTTTTTTTTTTGGGGGGGGGGGGGGGGGGGGGAGGAAGAGGAGTTAAATACACATTTGGGTTTGCTGTGGTGTGCTGGTTTTTGGTTTGGGAATTTTTTTGTTGGTTGTGGTGAGGGTTGTTTTTAAAAACACAGAGCATCCTTTATCTAGTTAAAGGCACACGATCCTGATATTTGAAATATTTATGTAACGATCAATGAAACAACTATTTCCTCCTCAACAGAGGAAGAAAACCTCACGCATCATTTGCTTCATTTGTCACAGAGCCCTCAGAACTTACTCCCAGAATGAATCTTCTGAAAAACGTGAATGCACAGCTAAATTAGCCACGTATACCTGCCTTGAGATGATGTGCTTTCTTCCACTGAGAAAGACGACCTGATGTTAATTACACCATTTGAAAAAGTAAGAAGCTTAAGTAGTTACAGACATTTTAACCAGAGCCCTCAGCCACATTTTCTGAAACTGTTTTCCTCTGCTCAGTTACTGAATTGCATTTCATACCTTCCAAGCAACTTTCCTTCTATTTAACGATGAAAGGTTCTTGTCTAATACATGATGTCTAGAAAAAAAATGACCAGCATAGCCTATAGGATAGATAATACAATATAGGATTTCCATGGTAGACATGCATAATTATCACTAGACTATCAGTTATGAGAAGTTTTATTCAAACACAGATAAGTGTTTCTTTATAATTAAGCAGGCACAGTCCATGTAAAATTGTGCAATTAAGATTTTTCTCTGCAAAACACACCTGTAAAATGCTACAATGAAAAGTGATATTTAACCTTAATCTCTTTAAAAAGTATTCCTGATTGCTCTGCAGTTTAGGTCCTTTAAACACTTCATAAATAATTGAATAAAGTTTTTCCACATCCTTTACTTGTTAAATCACAAAACATTAGAGGAAAACAAATACTTAATGCTCTGTGATAAAAACCAGTTTCCTGAGCTCCTACGCAACTATCGCTGCATTAAGTGTATCCACCGGGCTCCGGAATGCACTTATACTTGGAGACAGACCACACTGCTTTGTCCTTTAACTTCTCCCTAACTCGCATGCTGCTTTGAAGACATTTTGTTCATATGTGGCATTTTAAGACTCCTTGGGCAAAGACAGTCTGCTTCCAGGATCCACAACAGATAGCAGGGTTTTACAGGATTTGACCGATAGGAAGTACGTTCTCCAGAGGGGAAAAAACAAGGAAGATGCTCACACTAAGGTGACGCCAGTCTCTCAGTTACACAAAACATACTAGGAAATGCATTTTCAGGCATGCATGACCATTTTCTTTCTTCCCCTCTCCCAAGCTACGTGGGTTTTTAAAGCCTCGCACTAGAAAAGTAGGGTATTATAAAAGTAGGAAGTCCATAGTATAAACAAATTCAAAACAAGACGACCAGAGGTGGAAAAAGAACGTAATACGAAAAACAGACTAAAAAGAAACGTTCTGATCATCAGTATTCACGGACAAAGTTTCTACCACAAGAGTACTTCAGACAAGTGAAAATTATCATTAAAGCAGCTGAGGTTATTTCAAAAGGGAACTGTCTTCAGGCTTGATTAGGGATAAGAGAGAGTCATAGTTTAACTAACCTGGATGAAATATTAGCGTACAGAATTACAACCCCTTATTCTAAAATAACCTGCTGTCATTCAATTAAAATACAGTGGCAATGAAATGATATACTGACTACAAATTGTTAAAATTCAGGAATTCTTACATATCTACTGCCTTAATTTTGAAAGGTGAGTTTTACAGGAAAAACATTTTAGTAAGAACCCTAATTCTGCTAAGCTGTACATTTATGAGATAAAAATACTAGATACTTTAAAATGCAGATGAGTGACTCATAACTATTAAATAGTGACTTCAAACTAAAGAGACCTTCTAAATTCACTTCTGAATATGCATAGTCTGCAATATAATTTCAAAGTGCTAAAAGGAATTCAATTATCCTGTGGCTATTAATAATAAATCGTTTCACAAGCGTTTAGCTAACCAGCCCAAACAAGCACATTGGACAGTGATAAGAATTATCAAAGTCGAAATGTTAAAATATTCTAAGTCAACCGTGTCACGAGTAAGCTATTGTAGGGAGCCACAGAAAACAGACACGAAATGTCTTACTGAACCTTGGGATATAGAATTAAGGTGGCTAAATCTAGATGCCTATTTTCAGTTCTCCTGAACAGCAACGATTATGCCGTTAAAGAGATTTCCAAATTCTTAAAAAGAAATCAGGCCAATCCTTACCATCCTACATTTGACAAGTATATCAACTGCTTATACACGTTTGTCATTGCCATGTTCAGCATTATTTAGAAACAAATAAAATTGCACAACCTTTGCCTGAAATAACGTCAACTTTGAACGCTATAACATCAGAAACGGATCATTCAGAAAACTGAAACATAAAACAAGTGTAAAAATGTTATCCCCTATTACCTAAGCAAATTATTTTTGTTTTTACTTAAAGCATAACGAAACAAATGTTATTGTTTCAAGAGTTCTTTCTACATGCCAGCACTTTGGAGCAGCCCGTAAGCAAAGACAAGAGGAAAAATAAGAGAAAAGGGAATGCAGAACTGTCCCTCTGCAGACCATACTCACCCAGGTCACAAGAAATCCTGATTTCAATACTAGACAAATCTGATTTCCTATACAACTAATGACAAACTATTCAATCTATCCAGTGCCTCAATTCTCAATATACTTCTTCCCTGGCTCACAAAAATATTAGAAAGGATTTTATCCTTCAAGCGCAGTGGGATAACAGGCAAACACTCTGATGAAAACTATGCAAGTGCCTTCTTAGCATAGTTTAACACCTTGATCTGTACTCTCAGTATAACTCTTTAGCTTCACTTAACATCTGTCAATATTAGAAGCAGCTAGTTATCCACTAACCAATGCATTAAACTCAAATTATTATATGGAATAAGCCTCTCTATTTCACGTTTTTCTAGCAACCCTGCATATAAAGGAAACATTCACCTCAAATAATTTCCACGAGGAAGGAAGAAAAATCAAAAGTGTTGTTCTCAATAATCAATTTTAAATTACATTATGCACATTGAATGTTATCTCCACAGTTCTGTTTGAAAAACATGCGAATTATATATACTGTTCCTAAGTTCTCCAAATAGTATCACATTTAAGGTTAATGAAACTGTTTACAACAGCAACAATTGTAAATCAAACCTATGGTTAACATGAAAATTACATACAAATCCTATCATCAGTATTTCATTCTCTCCACAGAGAACATTCTGTCCTTCTGGTGTCAAAGGAAAACCAGATTCACTACTGTTCTTCCCCAAAGCACAAATTCAGTTTTGATCAATTTATGATATATTAAGGTTTCACTACTAGAGAACACTAAATTGGCATGCAGCTTTGAAAGAGGACAGTGCAGCGGTAAATGTGCTATACTACTCAGTGGGACACTGTTCAAAATTAAAGACAAGGAAACCACAATATGGACTTTGCTACATGTGCAACACGAGTCTACTGCTAATTCACGTGAATTAGCCTATTTCACCAAAAACACTGCACGCTACCACTGAACTGCTAGGGTAAAAGCCCTTAGCAAGGGAAGGCATATGACTTCCTGATACTGAATTACTGGAGTGCCATCTCCACCATGGTATTTGCAGTGAGTGCAGCACCTATGTACAAAGCATGAGACAACCCTTTAATAATGAGCACACAATTACTGTCTTAGTTAGCATCAGCTCTGGCTAGAAGCGTGTCATACATCTTCAAAAAACAGACAGCAGTAAATGATTAGTGTGAAAATAGTAGCCTTCCAATGTTTTAATACAGAGATTTTTTTTAAATGGCTTTACAGAAGAGGAAGTTGATGTCATTTAAATTTTACTTGAGTCAAGAGAAAAAATAAATATATTCTGAAGGGTAAAACGTTGCAATTGAAAAGAACAAAGCAGTTTTGTTTTAATTTGAGTGCAAAGTTTTCAGATTTCTCATACATGCCTACAGACAGAAGAAAAAAATCCCTTAATATAGCCATAGTCAAATAGGGAAGACAATCACAGCATCCCCAAGTATTCCACTTGCAAGTCAACGGACAAAAACATGGAGATTGTGCACACGCAGTGCATATTCATTCACTACTCACTGGCAATTCATTTGCTAGTGCTTAATTGCATGATATCATAAGAGATACCAGAATTACAGCCCTTGGTCAAAATCTTGTCCAACAAATTTGTTCTTGAGATTTTATCCAGTCTAAGTAGCTAACTGCACCTCCTCTGCAAGTGATGCAGCAGGGAAGAGGCTACAGCCCTGCACCCAAGGGTGTGAGATACACATCAAATCACTTTGCAATTGAAGCCCCACAGAGAAAAGACGACAGACAATGATTGAAAATCAGAAAAGCCATTAATGTGACAAGCTGAATAAGGCTTGTGTGGAACTTGGTTTATCACAGACAAGCCTGAGAAAACATTATTTTTCAAAGGGGTGAACAGGAACAAAAAGCTTAATAAAAACACGTTAGTAAAGAGTTTAACAGAATGGTACAAAGTTTTAACTTAAAATGTATTTGATTACTGCTAGATTTTGAGCAGAATTATTGAAATAGATGCGCTGAAAGTTAATGTTCAGTTTCACAGTGGTGGATCCCACTGTAAAATGTCCTGAGCATTTAAATTACAAATACAAATTGTTTAACAAAGATTAGCTAATCCTTGCGAAAACATGCAAGTATGAATAAATACAACAGAAGGAGCAATCCATGAAGATTCTTTCCTAAGGAGCCAGAGTCAATCCTTCAAAAATGACACAATTATCCCACAAAAGAGAGCTAAATCCTTGCACCTAATTGCTTTGTAAAAGAACCCCCCCCAGGGGGCAGGGGGGGAAATGCAACACTAATTTCAGTGCAACACAGCTTGCTAGCCTTCAGTAACAACTGACTTCAGTGGAAAAAAATATGGATTCACTGCAAAACAAACTAAGCTTTAAACAAGCAGCTCAACTTCCTGCCGCTGTTATTAAAAGCAAAGCAACCTACCTACCTAAAGGTGTAAAGTGACTTGAAATCTTGCACAGCATTGCAGTTAACTCATCCTCATATTAAGATATTTTGCCATCACTGATGCACAAAATAAATCATTAAGGAGAGCTAGATTTGCTTCCTTCTGAAGCATTCCATACCCCATTGGAAGCAAGCACATCTTCTGTCTCATCATCTTTGCTGTCAGCCTGAATTTCAAATGGGTTTCCTCCGTTACAGTACTGCTCAAATAACGTTGCTGTTGTTGAAACTGCTGAGGCAGGCTGCTTACTAGGTGACACAGATGGGGAACGTGACTGCTCCATGAACTTAAACTCCTATTAATATAAATAAAGTCCGATTTTAATCACCAACAGTTTCAATATTATCACTACAACTCTACATATACACAGCTTAGCAACAAACTTCTGGACAATGACTCTGATTTGAACTCTTTTAGCCATCAAAGCTTGCTTCCTCGTTATACTTTTTGTACCTGCACCAGTTAACCTTGAATTTGACAGTTTTCCATTATTAGCACTTACCAGCTACGACATGCAATGTCACCTGCATCCTGAAAATACTCACTTTCAAAGACCTAGTGTTTGTTTCTTTGTTTTTAGAGAAATATAGCATAGTGTTTTCATAAGGAATAAAACAGGACCTGAAAAATCTATCAAAGAATGTAGGTTTCTTTACACAACTACCTTGTAGCTTACTAAAAAAGATTATTTTTAATTTTTTTTTTTTTAAGTTTTCATAATTTTTTATATTCCTCAATGTATTACACATTACATTTCTAAGGATTAGGTGAGTGCATAGACTTTTTGAAAAAAAAGTATGGGTACTAAGTAGGGCACACAAGGTAGGGCATTTGTTTCTAAAAACCTGAAGTTACATCACTCAGTTGCCAGAGCATTTTTTTTAAGCTATTACACTCTAGCTATTTATCTTCACAAATGGCAAAAACATGAATTATCATTTACCTAAAGATCTCATGATCAAAATATGGAGCTACATGGACTGCAGTTTTAGGTGTCAGTTTCTTTAAACGTGTTAGGTACTTTCTGCAATTTGCTGCTGCTCAAGTCCCATTTCTCCATTA